GGATTTCAAGTAGCTTTACTTCTCAGTTACTAGACAAAAGTTAATGCAACTGTCTAGTAACTGCTCAAAAATTGCATGACATTTCTAAATATTTTGTTATACTGTGTCTATTGTATTAGGTGCGACAGCAAAACATTCGAAGTTTATAATTATAGCAGCGAAGAATTTTTAGCAAACCTTGATTAGCTACGGTAGCGAAAGTTTTTTTCCAGTGTATAACGACATATTGAAAAATGGGTTCAAGACAGAACAAGCCAATTACGTTAATTCGCGATGTCAAATGTCTGTGTGACAAAGTTCCTTCATCGATCAAAATGATGATCGTTTTCCGAGTTGTCTGTCCTTGCGTTGTCCGAGACAACCGCTATACAAGAACGTTGACTTGCGGCGACTTATCGCGACATTATCGAGATGCAGAGGCCGAGATGGTGATTTCGCGGGCGCGAGGAGGAGAGGCTGCGAGAGGGGTGTTTCCAGGAGGCCTATTATGGCAGATAATTTACGCGGGCCGTTCCCGCGGCAGTTTCCCCGCAAGAATTTACAGCGACGGTGCCACTCGGCGCGACACTCGCCAGGTGTAAATTCGATTACGATACTACTTGCCTTCTCGCGTCGATATTTCACTCCTGCGCGAGCGGAGTAGGTGACGTCGCCGCGTAATCTACAAGCGGAATTACGCGCGTAGGCGGCGAGACTTCTATGCGCCGCGTAAAGAAACGCGATAGCGAAAAACCGAGCGCGAACAAAATCGGAGCGCGCGATAATTCCTCCCCCAATATGTAGCGGTTTCGATCACCGAATATTTCAGAATCAGCAGGAAATAAGCACGTAGCGTAGCTCGAGTAACAGTGTGTAAATAATAAAACATTGAAAAGAACTCCTTGCGAATTACTATAATATCTTACAACGTCGTTTGTTTAATCCTTGAACCCAGAAGATGGAGTTTATATACGAGCACTAGAGGAGTCCCCTAGTATGAGCTAAACTCCTAATATGAGATAGCGGACTTTCTGTTAAATTGATAGGCTGTTGCCTATATACATTAGGCATCATCTGTTGGTTTCCGCCATTAATTTATTGCCCTTGGAGTGAAATCGGTTTGGTGGAAAATTGATTGTTAGATCGTGTAATCGTTGCGGGAAAAGACTTGCGATTGAATTTGGACGTTGAAAACCTACTATCTCATATTAAAATTCTATCTCGTAATAGAGGCTATCTCATAATAGAGACTGTCCCTTACCTACCTTGAAAAAATTCATTTCCTTCACGGCGAAGAGACAAATGATCGTCGTGTAAACTCCCAATTGTATCAAACACTTTTATCTTCGGTCCGAAGTACACAGTAAGACGAGAAACGTTTTCTCGGCGATCGCAATGCCCGATAATTAGTATCATACCGTCCGCGGGGTGTATCTGGCCCCAGGTGCAAACTCGATCGCGATACTCCTCTTCGCGCGTCGATATTTCACTCGAAATGCAGAGAGCGTCGGGACGTAATCTGCGCTCTGCATATGGAGCACGCGTGGGTAGAAACGCGTGCATTCGATGCAACGAGAGAACTCGAGGGGGCACGACAACTACGTGAGCCTCTCGCTTTTCATGCCGTCAGTTTTCAACCTGGAAAAATCGATCGGGGTCCGTCGCGAACGCGAGACGCATTGTGTCAGTACAGTTTTACAAGTTTAAAATCAACATCTTATCTGATTGTTGCAACGGGCGTTGCCGAGCGAAATTCTGTTTAGTCGAATTTTTGTCGCAACGTATGCGATATTCAGTATCGAGTAATCGCGACACTGAAGGAGGGTGAATGCGAATACTGAAATATTTCTGTCAACGACAAATTTAACGCAATTACAAAATGCAAAAGGCTCTATAAAATATATATAAAGAAAATAAAGACAATTTGCATGCCGATTGCACTTGTGAAATTATAAATAAATTAATAAATATGATTGTTTGATCTAATTTGGGCTAATAATCCAGAATAATTAAATGAAGAAAATTAATTATGTATGCTACAATTTTTACTATTTAGGTACCTTAAAGTGTGCTATTTCAAATTCTACATTTTTACCTCGGAGTTGTAATCAGTGACACAAGGAACCAATTTGCATGCAAATTAAACTAGTTTTAAGCGCAGGAAGAAACCATTTTTCTACGTAAAATCGGAAGATACTCTCTGCAACGTCTCTCTGCATTGTCTCTAAGACAGTGTCAGATGAGGACGACACTAAATTAGAAGATTAAGCTTTCTCGTTAAAGTTCCAGGTCAGTAATTACATTAGTGTACATCGGCGGCATCTAGTGCTTAATCTTTCCTTCTCCTCAAACGTTATGTATCTCTTAATACTTTTTAAACATTTTCCCGAGCAAGGCTTCTCATAACATTTGAACAGAATTTATCGCTTGCAATAAATTGTTAGGTTTATCAGTTTTTATGCAATCTTTAATTGTATAAATTAGACATCTCCGAGCAGAATATTTTCACGCGCATATATGTAGATTAAAATGTAAGCTTTCTGTTAAAAAATAATACTGCCAGTTTACGTCGCGAAAATAAGTTGCTTGGAATTAAGATATACGTTGTCTCGAGGCCCGAGTAAAGTGCATCTCGTTTGCACTTCTCGGTGCGAAATTTAATGAATCCCGTCCCCAGTTTTGCCCCCGTACGGTCTCACTATTTGAGAAAATATCACGGGTGTCCAAAAGCTGAAATTTATCGAGATGCATCGACGTCTTAAGTTAAAGTAAGAGGATTCGCTCATCTTGCCCGAGCGACTAAGAGCCCGCGCCGTGAAAATCGCGTATCGTCTACGCGAGTGAAAATGCCGGGGTAAACGGGCGAGCCGCAAGCGAGGGTAGTTTTAATTAAGCCATTAGGGGTGGCTGAGAGTCTGCGACCGAGCGGCTAGACGTTCCGACCCTCTTTCTCCTTCTCGCTCGTTCACCGGCTCTGTCTGCTTAAATTAATATAGCGCCCGCATTCCGTTCTACCACGTGGCGACGGAGCTCGTATCCAGATCGACTTCCTTCCACCCTGATCCCCGTTAAATTTGCGGAAATAATAACGCGATCGCGCGCAGACTCAGACCCGCGCCAAAGTCTGCTCGCTCGCGTACGCAGTGCGTCCTGAAAGCTCGGCAGTTTCTCATTACACAAACTCGAATTTCCAAGATAAATTTCCAAATCTTTTCGGCGACGAGTTCTTAGGAAGGTGCAGTTTAAACACAAAATAGAAGCTCCCTCCTCGCTTTAACGTATCAACGCGTACTTTTGACATTAATGCTTCTAAATGAGATAAGCGAGAAACTTGATAGAAAGAGACCCGTTTCTCTATTGGTAAAAATTTTTTATAGATTTTTCCTAGCTTGTTTTTTATGCAGATTTTTCGTTTGCATTTTTGCAGATTTTTCTGATAGGAATAAAATATTGTAGAATGCGTTTTATGAACACGCACTTGTTTTTTAGTTTTTCACGTTTTTGTAGATAGAGTAGTATTTATTTCGTAAATTCCTACAATCCTAAAATATAAATATAAAATACTAATGCGATAAGAACGTGGATCACGTGTGAAGAGTATCTGTTGGCAGCGCAGATTTTTAACACTTTTAACAAACCCTCTCGCTATTAATTAATTATTTGTAATACTTCCCAATCGCGGAAGGTATAAATTTCGTGTACTTATCTTGACAAGTTTACGCGAATTGATTTTAGAACATCTTGATATCGCAGTATACTTTCTTTACGGTCTGTTTCCTCGAAATAGCGCTCTCCCAATATCGTTTCAACAGCAAGAGATTCGCGATACTGTCACAAATTACTTGGGAGATCATTGCGCCCGTATTTATCTTATAAACGCTAAGCGTAGCTGCTTGACTCGCGTCTCACGTTTATATTAAATCATCGTACAAGACAAATGTAACTCGGAATCGGACAGGGACATTTAGCGCTGAATACGTGACATTAGAATACCGGCCTACGCTAACATCGCTCGCCTCTCGAGATGTTATTCCTCCTTCCCTTTCTGTCTTCTTCTTTTCCCACCCATCCATCTTATCTTCTTACGTCTCATCGTTCGCCAGTGATTTTTACGTCGCCCAGTGTGTCAGCGGAGACTTCGACGCGGCGTCGCAGCGTAACGCTCGGAATATCAAGTAGTTCGGTCGAGGGGAAGTTAAACGCAAAGAAATTGAGCGAAATACAGTCGCGTGTGGAAGTGCATATACACTGAACGAACGTACTCAACGAAGCAAAGGCGGATTATTGCGGTTAAAGTTCGAGATATACATAACAGACGTTAGTTCTAACACATGTACGCGCCTCTAATGCAGTTACAATGTATTTAATATATCCTTCAGAAAATCCCATTATCCGAGATTCATGAAAAGCTGTAACGAAAGTTACTTTGCAAAGCGCATTTGTCTGAAAGAATATTTTTACAGTTTTCGCTCTGTGAGGTATACACCTAGTAGCACAATATACACAGTAAAAAGTCGTGTGTTGAAATGTTAAAATTTTCTTGCGTTACCAAGACTTGATTGTTATTTCAATGTAAAATTAACATAAAACAGATATGCGATTTTTGTAACATTTTTATGTGTTATATTTATGTTAACGTAATAACTTGACACTTTATGTGTGTCATATAAAAATTGAATATCATTTTGAGTTCTTTTAACATATCGGCTAATGCATCTCTAAACGTTGGACCAATGTTTAGCCAATGCACTGTGCTACTAGGGATAGTTAATTAGTAATCAAGTTAACAGTTTAATTAAAACTTAAGAAATGCAATAATCGGCAGTTGTCTCTTACGAAGTCAGGTATAATTGAAGAAGAGTACGCGAGGAATCTAGCCGAAGGCCTCGGTGCCAACTTGAGCGAAAACGCGCGAACAAATGAACAGGAATACGAACGTCTGACGATTCGCGATCGCTGTTCGCTCGTTGTTCATTTGCTCAGCGTATACGCACCTTCGAGTTTACTTTGCACTTACTTACCAGCTCGTCCGTCGTATCCGCGCTCGTCGTCGTCGTCCTCATGCTCGCCGCTCTCCTCGCCAGCCGTGCCCTGCGTCTGCACGACCCTGGGTATCTCTGCAAGAATACGAGATAAATGAGAAGAACGGGCCTGGATGGAAGGCTCGAGTTAATCCTGCAGGTGTCCGCGCCAAGAACTTCGCGCTCGGGTCGATAATTGTTTCTCTCTCGCACAGAGATTGCGAAAAATATCCATTCTCCGATTTTCTCGGAAATATGTAAATCATTAACAAACACATTTGAAATCTTACACTGGCAGAAAAGTGTGTAGTATTTGAAACTATAATTGCATAGTAAAATAATTATAGCCAGGAATATCATTTTTATAGTAATTGTCGCTATAATATTAGTAATAGCAACCATATAGACACAGCGATGCCAACTATTAAAACAATTTACTATAAAATATAAGCTTTTAACTATTATTCTGTTAAAATATCCAGGTGAATGAATAGTAAACTAGTGGTTAGTGTACTTGTGGCAGTGCAACATTTACAGTACACCTTACCAAATTAAAAGCTCGTTTTGGTTTGTGACAACCGTATCATAAGTTGCATGGACCAATATTGTGTCTATGAGAACTACAATACATTGTTAGGTCAACTTACGTAGTTGGAAAAATTATAAAAATGTGATCGGCTCCTAAAAGAGATTGCGGTAACTGCAACCATTTTCTTCTGTCAGTGTAGGAACGCTATTTTCAGTGTTTTTTTCCCCACAACATTTAAAAACAAACGTATTTTGTGATATTTTTGATCTGAGATAATGTGCACCGCGAAACCTGAGTGCATTGCTCGAGGTACAACCGCACGATGGTATTACTTTTATCCGTTCTATACGTTTATCACGCCGCCTGCGAGTCTTCTATGCACGATAAGATTCGCTAAGCGCCGCGTCTTCCTGATACTCAGAGATGGGCAACGATGTAATCTTTCGTGACACGAACATTCGTTCTTGATTGAAACTCGATTTGAAACTAAAAGCCGCCCGTTGCGATGGAAGCGGGAGGGTGGGTCCGATGGTCGCGCGCACGTTTTCGCAAATTTCGCCTAATTGGACAAGCGCGAGGAGATCCGGCGTCGAGATGGTCGCGTGTTCCTGCCGATCGATCGATCGATCATTCTCGAGGGCAGTACGGGTGTGGTCGAGCGGATCCGGTGCCTTTTTTTTGCTCGATCTTCTCGCCACCCTGGTAGCGGGCTAAAAGATCGAACGCGAAGTCCGCTTGGCGATAGACTTTTTGCACTTTCTTTCTGGTCAAACAACATTGTGCGGTTTTTGTATCGTGCCGTGTACGCGAGTATATAACGATAAATCGCAGGGAAAGATTCGTGATATCTTTTTCACTTTTTCATTCCACCGTGATAATTTATACTTGGAATTCCCAGTAAGTTTCGAGCGTTCTGAATCTACTTCAAAGCGTTACGTCTGAACAATTGCGAGAGTTTAGACGCTCCCAAGAGATGTAACTGCAAGAAATTTCTACGAAGCTCTTCCACTCTTTTTGAGCGACTAGCTTCTCAAAATTTATCTAACCGTATCGCAACGTCGTCTTACGGGAAGACACAGAATTTCTCCCATTATCCGTAGTCGGAATACTATCTTCCTCGTTGCACCGGCACGCTTGACGTAGCTCGCACGAAACAAGCTCGGCCCGAGGGGAGTGACGAGCGCCGGCGGAAACGAAATCGAAATAAAAGATAAACGCAATGAAACCGGGTATCAAGCACGGTGAACGCACGCGTGGGCGTGTACTTACTGATGCAAGGCGCAATATGCGATCTGCTCTGTTGGTAGCCCCTGGCGCATCTGTTGCAAGTAATACCGGTTACGCCGTCTTTGCAGGGACACTGGCCGCTGCTCTGGTTACAGGTCTTTCCAGAAGCCCCGATCGGATGGCAGTCACACGCTGTAACAAACGGGCTAGCTAGTTAATTTGATCAAGATAGATTTCTTGACAACACTCAAAAGTGAACGCTAAGGACTATGTTTATTAATATAACTTTTTCATTTTGTTGTATATTACTTTTGGTATCTGTTACAGAATTTAACCGTTTTTTAGAATCCGTTTACAAAATTTATTCCCTTGTCACTCTTGCAACAACGAATATTTGTATTCCCTTTGAATTACTGACATTCGGGAAAATGGCGTGTGGTAATTTAGCGACGTGTGGTATAAATGGCACGACTAATTAATTATTGGGGAAAATTTCACGTCGAAGCATAACTGGAGACGAGGGTGAAAGAGAGCCTTAATCAAGTTGGCCGTGTCAGATCCGCTCGCGTCAACCCGTTCGCATTAGTGCTCGAATTTACTGTCGACTGCATATCTCGTTATGCTGTACCGCGCCTTCGAGATACGCGCATTCTATTAAGAAACAACGCAGATAGGCGACCCGGAAAATGATGGAGATAGCCAAACAGGCGTGACGATCCGCTACCTGAAATTAAGATAAAGCGCGGACTTTACATGGCGCCTATAAAAGGACCTTGGCCATTGGCTGCAGCCTCGATAAACGGAAGATCTTGCGCGGGATAAAAGCGGTTCATTCCCACGAGCGGGACATGAGGTGTATACTAATGCGGCGGAAACGCGCGCGATTATCGGCAAATTGAAAGTGAGCGAAATTTTTGGGCGAGATTAATTATACAATTTAAAAGACTGATTTTTCGAATTCACGTTTGAGATTTTAATGCATTTAAAATCAAATCGTTTAAGTATATTATCGAGATTTTATATTCGAGAGCATTTACGTCTGCATCTCATTTAAATGAAAAGCTCATTATATCGGAAAATAAAATATCGAGAAGTGCATACTCCAGAAGCATCTTGCATGAAATAAGAATAATCGGCACAGCGTGTCCCATTTTTATCGGATCAGGTTTCAGCGACGAATTTCTTAATTGATTTAACATTTTTTCCATAACGAAACTATCGAGAAGAATGAGAAAAAATAGATTCTAATTATAAATAACTGAAAATAGAAGATATTTCAGGAACTTCAGAATATAAATAGATATTGACAGATATAGAAATCTTATTTTTTCATCAAATTAACTAACTTGCGCGCAGAATTTTAATTTGAGAATTGATTACAAAATGCTACAAAACTGAAAAGCTGTAGAAGATGATGGTACGTAAAAAATTTTTGGGACAGAAGGTAATTTTAAGATATTTGAAGAATCTCAATTTGATTAAGATGGAACACGCTATACGCACGTGTTATGTATCGTAAATGAAAGAGGGGGGACTACATTGAATGCATTCCAGCCTTATCCTAATTTTATGCGGCCTAATCTTGCGTAAGGTATGCGCGTGCGAGATATTAAAGAGCCCTTCGCGATTGCCACACGTGGGACGGGGAGAATCTTCGTAGGTCATTTCGGAGGATTTATAAAATCAATCAGACGCGCCTCGATGAATGCGTCGCCATCAAGGCATACTTTAGAGAAAGCTTAAACCTCCCTTGAGAACTGGTTGATGAGAAAGGTTTTCTTGGTGCTGAAGAGAAAAGCTAATAAATACACGTTTCGTTATACCGGATACTTTACCTAGGCACACGAACAACAATACGGTTTCCTCGAGTATTCACTTTTTCAGTAAACGAAGGTTGTGGGTTTCTCTTTAATTGATATTACACTTATCGAAAATCGGGGTCGACGCCGTTGGTGGTACAGTTATACTTTAAACGTAACAGTTAATATCTCGAAAATTGCAGGGGAGTAATAAATAAAATTGATTTACTGTTACGGTATGACGATAACAGGTGTTACCCGAGTGCCACAGGAATGACACCTTCTGTACGTGTTTTTCCCGTGTAAATCATAAAACGCAAATAACTTGTGAAAATAAAAAAAATCAACGGTAGAATCACGGGTACAAGTTATCATAATTATGAGCATTAATATTCTGTCTCTCGAGAGTCGTGCGTTGCCGACCGCAATTTACCACCAATAATTGCAACAAAATTACGCTCGTCGCAAAATAATAACCCGCCTGATTTACGACAACCATGTGTAATCAATTGTAATCATGTATCCCTTTCGTAAATTACATCGTGTTGATAATACAGAGTGAATAAAAAACTTATATCGCGCACGAAGGGCTGAAATTAACAGCAATGTGTGCAAAATAAATCTCATAATTTAATACACGAGATATATGACGAGTTAACAGTAAAATAAACACGTCCGCGAATTTAAACTATTTTCGGGCATTTTTGGGGGAAAAGGGTTTGTTGGAGCAACAATTAAATTCAAACGGCACATTTCGTGCGACATATCCTGTTCATTTTGCATATTGCAACGATTCGTTTCAACGAGAGTTCGAGATTGGCCGCTTTTGAAGTCTATTCACTTTATGACAGAATCATGATTCATGATGCAATTAATTATCTTACGCCGAGATTCGCCGATTAAAGCCAGAGCGTATTAATTAAACGAGACACTCGCTGTTTCCCAGAGCTGATGAGTAGCCATAGAACAAAGTTTTGATCCCTATCTTCTTTCGCAACTCTCTCGCTGCGAGCTAATTCTATCGCGTGTGGCGTACGAGGCAACGCCTCGTTTAAATTTGCGTTGTCGGCATAAATTACCATCTGCTTCGCGGGACGGCCCACGAAAATTAACGGGGAGACGATTCACATAATTCTTAATCGTCGACACTGTCGTCGGCTCGCACATCCACGCGAATCGTTGGTCGATCGTGCCTGAGCGTGCCGGCTGAATAGATTCATATAGCGCGCAATAAAAATACAGTCACCCAATAAAAATTTTATTGCTGCGACCACATAGTTTAACTACATTAGCGTTTCACTCGCCAATATTTCGTACAGGCTCGCGTGTCTTATGTAGTTATTTGTTATCGCAGTGAACTCAACATGATAACAGTCTTATGTCTTATACATATACTACTGGTTTTTTAATACACTAAAAGATATTACAATTTTTAAAATGAATTAAATTACGGAAAGCTACTGCGAGTCATTTAAACTGATCTAGGAGAAATAAAAATGTTTTCCAGCTCGTTATGGCAGGAAGGGAAAAATCTTTCACGCAAATTTACAATCCCACATCTATAATATATGTTGTAGAAATTTTGCAAAAATGTCTTAGTATCGAAGCAATTAATTTTCTCGTTATCTGTCAGATTTTATCATTTAGCACCATTTAACTTGGATTGCGCGACGAATGGCTTAATCAACCGCGAACGTGTGCGAGCCAGTTCGATCGGCGGTGCAGATTGCAATTCCGCGGACGTGTGTCACGGGGGGGGGTCACGACACGGTTTATTGGTCACGCGGCGTTGTCATTAGAAATGTCATAAACAGTGATTAGAGGCATCACGGCGGCGTGGTTCAAGGATTACTGCGTTTCTTCGTCGCGACGGCATCCCCGCCGCCGGGGATATGAATTGCCGGCCGTCTCCGGCCGACGTTGGAAACGACGTTCGACTTTCGACACCTAAATCGCCGTAACGGTTGTTTCGTATCCGTGCGACTTGTCTCCGGAGACAAGGAGTCGTTTGTTCCCTCGTTACCGGCCCTTTCGTTACCTATAAATTCGTTATGCAACTCTCGCCGGGAGACGTCGGAGTTGAAAGCAATCGCGCGTCACGATATCGCGTGGAAATTATTCGAGCTAGGATTCGTGGATATTAAAATCGATCGTCACCGTTATCGCAACGGTATTGCGCGTTGCGAAGGTATTTTATCCAAAAATTTGTCCAGTTACCACTTTTACCGTGTTATACGTACACTGAAAAAAATTTCTGGTTGAATATGGACGAATCAGATAATTCCTTTAGGATTTACCAGAATTCCTTTAGGATTTACCAGAATTCCTTTAGGATTTACCAGAATTCCTGTAATCCTACAGAAATTCTGGTAAATCCTAAAGGAATTCTGGTAAATCCTAAAGGAATTATCTGATTCGTCCATATTCAACCAGAAATTTTTTTCAGTGTATGAACCGTACTATAACTACGTTGTAGACAGCTTTGAGAATTGTTCAGATTTCAATATTATTACCTGACATTTTGTTTGCAGCTAAGTTGAAAAGAAATGCTTACGGAATAAGAGTCCATGGCTGAGAGTAGAATGTAAACTTTACTGCAGTTACATTAAATAAACTGTTATGTCATTTAGACATCCTTACAATATACACCTTTTAATAATTAAATATATGCAAAAATAAATAAATGCATAAATTTAATAATCTCATTGTAGATTGTAATGTGCCGCAAAGCAAATACCTTCAGTAATTTGCGATTTCTGTATTAAAGAAAAGCCTTGAGCAATCTTCGTACTTCTAAGAATAAACATACGACGATCACATGAAGGTTGTTCGAAAGTTGGCCGATTAAATATAATACTCGTTAAATGGGGTCGTCAACTAACTTTTTTAGTAGCTTATTATCTTGTTACGCAACAAATTACGCAAGAGACTATATCCGAGAGGTACTTCTTGCACGCGATCTGAAAAGCAGCTAATGTTACACGGATTTACATGGACTTAGTAGTGATTTTTAACGGAATAGGAACGGCAGCAGGGAAAAGGGAAAATAAGAAATATAGTATTTCAATTTTTCTCGTACATATAAAGCACAGAGGAAAGTCTCTTATCGTTAGATAGGCTTCTAATATGGGATAGCGGAGTTTCAAAATTAATTGGCATCATCTGTTGATTCCACCACGGATTTATTGTCCTTGGTGCGAAATCTGTTTAGCGGAAAGTTGATTGTTAGATCGTGTAATCGTTGCGAAAAAAGATTTCTGTTCGAATTTGCACGTTGAAAACCTGCTATCTCATATTAGAATCCTATCTCGCAATAGAGGACTTTCCTCTACATATTTTCTGAAAAGTTCATTTTCCATAATTTATTGGCGCATTTCATCTGGTACAGTTTCC